AAAATGTTGGGTTGAATTCCATATAAGTCTGTTTAAGTGTTATTTGTTAAAGTGTAGAAAGAAATGGGAAGATCATTACTTTACTAAGTAAAATTTCTGATTTTTTTTTTTCTTGCAGCACAACACTAAATTTGTAATGAAATGGAGTCTGGGTCAAGCTCTTTTCGAGTGGAATTTCCAGATTTTTCTAGCACCATTTTGCAGAAGTTAAACCAGCAGCGCCAGATAAGTCTGCTTAAGTGTTATTTGTTAAAGAAAAAGTGTAGAAGGAAATGGGAAGATCATTACTTTACTAAGTAGAATTTCTGATTTTTTTTTCTTGCAGCACAACACTAAATTTGTAATGAAATGGAGTCTGGGTCAAGCTCTTTTCGAGTGGAATTTCCAGATTTTTCTAGCACCATTTTGCAGAAGTTAAACCAGCAGCGCCAGCAAGGACAATTATGTGATGTGTCCATTGTAGTTCAGGGCCATCTCTTCAGAGCCCATAAAGCTGTTCTTGCAGCTAGTTCACCTTACTTCTGTGATCAGGTTCTCCTAAAAAACAGCAGGCGAATAGTTTTGCCTGATGTGATGAATCCCAGAGTATTTGAAAACATTCTTCTGTCTACCTATACGGGTCGGCTGGTAATGCCTGCTCCAGAAATTGTTAGTTACTTGACAGCAGCAAGTTTCCTTCAGATGTGGCATGTAGTGGATAAATGCACTGAAGTGCTAGAGGGGAACCCAACAGTTCTGTGTCAGAAGATGAACCATGGCAGTGATCATCAGTCCCCGAGCAGTAGTAGTTACAATGGCCTTGTTGAAACCTTTGAACTTGGCTCTGGAGGGCAGACGGAATTCCACAAAGTGCAGGAACTAAGGGATGGTGAAAACGAAGAAGAGAGCTCTAAAGATGAACTGTCATGTCAACTGACAGAACATGAGTACCTTCCCAGTAATTCTTCAACAGAACATGATAGACTTAGCACTGGAATGACGAGTCAGGATGGTGAAGAAGGAACTAGTGATAGCGCAGAGTATCAGTATACCAGACCCATGTATAGCAAACCCAGCATCATGTCTCACAAGCGGTGGATCCACGTGAAACCAGAAAGATTTGAACAAGACTGTGAAGGTGTTGATAATCCTTATGATGAACACCAAGTTTCTGAATCCATGAATGCCATTCAGGCAGATCATTCAATCCAGTCTTCAGGTGTTGAAGACTTTCATATAGGTGACAAAAAGATGGAAGCAGAATTTGATGAACAGGCAGATGAAAGTAATTATGATGAACAAGTTGACTTCTATGGCTCTTCTATGGAAGAATTTTCTGGTGAGAGGGCAGATGGAAATTTAAGTGCTCACAGACAGGATCTTATGATAGCAGCAGGCTATGGTGAAGGCATTGAAATGGCTACAGGAATTAAAGAAGAAACTTCCCTCACTGGATTCTCACATGCTGATAAACTGTATCCTTGTCAGTGTGGTAAAAGCTTTACACACAAGAGTCAGAGAGATCGGCATATGAGCATGCACCTTGGTCTTCGACCTTATGGCTGTGGTGTCTGCGGTAAGAAATTCAAAATGAAACACCATCTTGTAGGCCACATGAAAATTCATACAGGCATAAAACCATATGAGTGTAACATCTGTGGGAAGAGATTTATGTGGCGGGACAGTTTTCATCGGCATGTGACCTCTTGTACCAAGTCGTATCAAGCTTCTAAAGCTGAGCAGAGTACTACTGAGATGAACTAAGATTAGCGCTTACATTTGTTTAGTAGAGTAAGCAAAATAAACTAATTATGCAAATAATGTCTGGTACTTGCTATTGTAAATTCTCAAAAAAACAAGTTTTAATGATTATGCTGGTATAAACAGACCAAAATTTATTTTCCATAATACTACTCCAGGTGTTTGTGTGAAGTAAAATGGTTAATCTGAAAGATGCTTGCAAAATGAGGTCTGTAAGGTCTTTGTGACATTGATTGTAATCACAGCAGTATTTAGAAGCCCTGTTGGTTTTGAGTCTTCTAAATTCACAGTAAAAGCCAGCTCTAAATTGACCCAAATCCTTACATAAAGCAGGAATTCAAGTAGCCCTACTTAATGAAATGGAGAACTAGGATGATGAAACCAGGTTATATGATTCACATTTTAATGAAAAAAAAAATTAGAATTCCACTTCAAACTGGAGACTGCCAACATACTTAGCATGCATCATTAGATAGTTTACATCATTAAGTAGGCTTTACTGTATTGCTTAATGAAAGGCTGTGTTAAAGATGGTTTGGCTTTCCTTTATCTGTCTTCCATCTTCTATCCATCTTCAGTAAACAAATGTTGTCTAATTTTGTGCTGATTTATATTTAGAGTCTGTGAAGCACTTACAGTTGAGCACTATATAAACTTCAATCTGTATTAAGTATAATTTGTCTTTGCTCCTCTAGAGTCTAATGCTGTATGACTCTTGGCTTGATTTGATTTTGATTGCTACATCGTGAGAGCTTCTAGAAATGTGTGTAATAAGTATGTCTTGTCAAAAAAAAAAAAGTAATGTTTGGAACTTTTCCAAAATAATCAAACATTTAAACTGTAGTTTTCTGTTCAGATTTTTGTGGCTTACTACAGTAGCAAGTACCAAACTCTGCGGATTCACGAATTGACTTTTTATTGGTACAAAAACTTCTTTGAGAACTTTTATCTAGTTTTAGAAACCTGCTTTAGGAAAATGATTTAGTCATTGATAGATATTTATACTTTTAATTCTTTGAATAGTAAAGAACTGTAATACAGATTCTTGGTACTGAACTACTGTGACTGGTTACATGTGATCACAAGCAACTGGAGTTGTTTACCTCTTCAAATGAAGTTGCTTGTGGAAAAAAGTAGAAAGTGTGGTATTTCGATCTATTAATGGTACTGCAGAACATGGTACCATGCTCATGTCCGAAGTCTGGATTTTTGCTGGGAAAGTGGCACTTCTGCTTTGTTAGGATGAGTATTTATATGCTGGGCTCTCACTCTTGGAGGTAGATGGAGGAGGGTTTGTAGTTCTGAGAGATGCTGCCAGCTCTGCAGGTAGAGTGAATGCATCAATTGTAAAGGTGGCAACAGGATTTTGGGGTTGAAAGCTTAATGCAGTCCTATGCAAAAGCAATTAACCCTTCTTTGTAGTTTACTGAAACGTATTATAAAAAGGAAAGAGCCTTTAGAGCATACATAGACTATAATAGAAAGAGGTGATGTCCAAGTACAGTGCTGGTGAGATGGAGGGGGGGGTTGGGGGGGTGGGTTAACCAGCATCAAAGGCCTAAGCCTGTCTGGCCCCAATTTATGTATTAGATACTGCAATATGCAGTACTTAATAATAATGTACTTAAACAGATGACCCTGTATGGTGAAGCAAATACACACAGATAATTATTATTTAGATGCTTTTTTGAACTCCCAGTTACAAATTGTCTTATGATACAACTGAATTGTATCCTGAACATGAATGTCTGGTACAAGCTGGGGGTTTACTACTCAGTGGGCTGTAATTACTGTAACTTCTTTTCCGGCATTCTACTTACAAACTTTAATTTTTTTAAGAGGCTCTTAATTCTTAATCTTCTAACGCTTCAGATATTTTTCATATGGAATTTTGTTAAAACAGATATTCCCAAATATGATTAACCCATTGCTGGCAATGGGCATGAATGGTCAGCACCACAGAGTTCTTATTCTTAGCACTTAATTGAACTCTACAATATACCATGGTGGCCATATATAACCCTTGTAATCAAGGTAACTAAACAGGGATTTGCTCACTAACACTGTAACCTGCTTAATGTATAGAAGCACTTTGTATTTAAAAAAAAAAACCAACAAAAACAAACCATAAAACTTTATAAGTATGTTTTTTAAACTTAGAAATTATATTCCCTTTATGGTTTGTTTCCACACTGCTAACACTGTCTTTTTTAATATTAAAAAAAAAAAAAATTTACAATGCTTGCCTGTTTACATGAGTGTAGAGGAAAGGGTTCTTGCACTCGGTGGCCCTATTTTTCCATTCTCCAAGGCCTTACTACATACAGGGTGTCATTTCTGCAAGTACCATCATCACATTTGAGGGAAGGTATTCTCGTACTCATTTCAAGAATGATCTTGTGTATTACATTAGTTCTCAACCCCTTTTGAATTGTCACTTCAGTGTTGCATAAAAAGGTTAAGGGTGCTTCTTCCCATTTAACCATAAAAAAGGCTGGTCAGAAACACCAGGCTGAAAACCATGGTCAAGCAAAAAATTATTTCTGTTAAACCTAGACCATCCTACAGAGCTGACAGCAAAACTGTTTCTTTTACCAGCTTGGAATGACTTTTATATGGGACATTTCAAAGTTAAACATTACTCCTGATTGCAGTTAAATTACTTTGAAGTAAAGCTTTAAAATAAAATGTACTGCGAGAGACACTTTAAAGGTTTTATAACAGGTCCAGTAGATCATATTATAGAACCACATCCTTTTTTAATGACTTAGCATGAATAGTAACTTTTTAATATTTGCCTATTACTATGTTACCCCATATTATGACATTGTCTTGAAAGTCCAACAAATCTTGCTCCACTGATTTTGTAGCACTTGGCTTTTTGATGTTATTTTATGTGAAATCAATTGATTACAGGAAAATACTGATATGATTGTTACGAGATCTAGTTGAGAGGATTGACGATTTAAGGGCAGCTTGAGATACACGTCTAAAATCCTTTAGATTTGCCTAAAGGCAAAAGAGTTGACTTGTGGTGTTTTTCTGGAATTTAATTTACTGCCCTTTGACAAACTGATTCAGGTATTGGGGGGGAAGAAGATAACAAAAAATTACTTAAACACTTAAGGAGACATCTTTCCTCCTTCTTCCTCAGGCTCAACTTAAGTCTAACACCTCTCCTCCCTACCTTTGTAGTCTGTTTCCCTTGTTTTCACTGAGAGTTGCACTCAGTCCATGCCAGTTATTTTAGCGAGGTATCAGATCACACAGGTTGGGTTCATATGCATACTGGCTGGTCTGATACTCTTCACTTCTTAGTGGGTGTCCTCTGCTGCTCTGGGCTGGTCACTGTTGGTGACACCAGGCCATAGTCCATTCAGGTATGTGCCTGTTCCAGCTTGGGTCTCCTACGGGCCTCAGTTACTTCAGAGATATATCTGCTCTTGCATGGCTTACCTGTAGGCCAAAGTTCCCTCAGAAGTGAATCTCCTCAGGCATGGAGCATGTCCCTTTGTGAGTGTCTCTATGCGTGTCCTCAGTGTCTTCTCCATGTGTTTTCCCAAGAGCAGCTCTTAAGTTTCTCCACGTGTCTGTCTTGCCCAGGAGTATCTTCTCCTTATGTGTCTCTCCCTGCACCTCTTGCTAGCAGCTGCCACTCTTTAATATGTTTAGGCAGAGGCACTGTGTGCACCTCTGATGTTTTGGCATGCAATGGATGTTTACATCAGTTTCAGTGCAGGCTAGAACCTGTTTTGAGTAGCACAGGGCAGTGTGCAACCTTTTGCCACGTGTCACCCTTGCAGCCCTCTGCTACTGAAACTCTGCAATTTATGGCCAATACAGTTGTACATAGTAAACTAAGATACGCAGATGCAGCTTCTGTCAAGCTCTTAATCTTTGCTAATGGAGTGGTCCTGTTCAAGATACAGGAAATTATTTCTTGTTTGTGGGGAGGAGGGAAGCAATCCATATATATATATATAGATAATATGAATGAATATGATAAATTTCATTAACCTTCCCTTAAGCTTCATCACCTTTAATGATATGGCTTAGAAACATTTGTGTATTTTTATATTGCTCGCTGTTGGCTGTAGTAAAGTGAATGTCTTCTGAAAACCAGAATTGTTGTACACACAGGAGGCTTTCAGAATTTCCTGCTACTGTGAAGCCATTCATAGTCCTGTCAGTGGTAAGAACAGTTAATGATACTACAGCTAAGTTCTTTTTCATTCCATTTTGTAACTAAGATGTTAATTAACAGGGAATCTGTGTAACTGCCATTCTGAAAAATTCAACCATTAGCAGGGTTAAGGTCTCTGCTTAGGTGTATACCTGACCCTTTTGAGGGAGGAGGTTCCTATTTCACACACCACTGTTGGAGGTTTTTTGTTGTTGTTTTGTTTTTTTAAACATTACTTTGTTTGTTTTATGGGTGAGCGGGTAGACTCTAGAAGGTCCTGTCAGTACAATTTGTGGTCTTAGCTTTTTTCATCTAAGGTGTTTCTGGGGTTCAGAAACTTTGTCCCGTACCAAAAGCAAGGTAGATGATCAAAGGCTGCTGTATTGGGATTCTCATTATAAAAAGAATACTTGATGTCCCTATATTATTGAGCCTGAAAGAATGGAGGCAGGTCAGGTCTTGTAATCTCAACATATTTGCATTGGTGCCAGAAAGGTGACCTGTCTCTGAATTATGAGAGCCTACAGCGGTATATTATTTTGCTTTGACAGAATTAGAACCTTTCTCAAAACAACAAAGGAAAGTTGTGGGTTTTTTTGTTATTTAAATGCTTCATTGGATAGCTAGGCTTCATTAGCTATAAGCTGTAAACTGTCAGTGCTCTAGGGGAAGATGCTGGAAAACAAAATGGTATATTTTTAATGTGATTAAATTGTAAGTTCCGATTTTTGCTTGAAGCCTGTGTCTGTTGACTGCTGCTCCTTTTTTTTATTATTCATGGGATTCCATATTTCTTCCAGAAATGTAACTGTTTATGCAAGTCAAGTGAATCTTCCTTAATGAGCTATAGGTTTTTATTCTAAACAAGTCATTT